AATAAATAAAAATAAATAAATATTAAAAAAAAAAAATAATGAATAGAACAAGTAGATCAGTGTTTGTTTTTTTTTTTTCTTGGTGGTACCAGGAATCAAACTCAGGACCTTGCGCTTGCCAGGCAAGCATTTATTCAACTGAGCTATCTTCCCAGCACCCCTAGAACAAGTAGATCAAAAACAAAGAAAAACCAGTAAAGATGCGGAAGGCTTAATCAATACTGTGCATCATTTTAACCTAATTGATGCAGAAAACTACACTTAAGAACTTCAGAATATGGCTGAGGAGATAGCTTGGCTGTCTAGGTACCCGTCTGGCAAGAGCAAGGACCCAAGTTTGATTCCTGGTACTGCTTACTGTGTTGGCCCTGAAATCCTGAATGCACCATGCTGGCCCTGAAACTGAATGTGGTGGCACATGCCAGTAATGCCAGTGCTAGGGAGGCCAAGATAGAAGAATCACTATGAGTCTGAACTGCATAATGAGACCCTATATCAAATAAGTAAATGAATTTTAAAAAAGAACAGCAGAATATATATTCCTTCATGTGAATTATTTACCAAGATGCCCATATTTTCAATGTTCAATCATAAAATAAATATGAATACATTTCAAAAGTTAAAACTGGAGCCAGAGAGATAGTGCCCACCATATAGCCCTGGAATCAGGCAGGGTGGTGCATACCTGTAATCCAAGCACTCAGGAGGTTGAGCCAGGAGGATCTCTGTGAGTTCAAGACTATCCTGGAAGTGACAAAACTGAGCACATGGTCAGCCTAAACTACATAGTGAGACCCTGTCTCAAAAAAAGAAAGAAAAAAAGAAAAAAGAGTCAAAACCTTGCAGATCATGTTCTCTGACAAAATTACAACTAATTTAGAAATCTGGTATGGTGGCAAATACTTGTAATCCCAGCTCTTGGGAGGCTGAGGCAGGAGGATCACTGCAAGTTCAAGACCATTCAAGGCCAGCTTGGGCTACATCACAAGTGCAAGAACAAGTCTAAACTACATAAAAAGACCCTGTCTCAAATAAACAAACAAACAAACAAACAAAAATTAGAAATCAATAACAGCAAGATATCTAGCAAGGTCCCAAATAATTGGACATTAAGCACCACACTTCTAAGTTATCCATGGTTCAATGAAATCACAAAATAAATTAGAAAACATTTTGTTTGAAACTGAGTAATCATGAAAGCACAGCCTCTCATATTGATATTTTGGGATGCAGCTAACACTGTGATTAGAATGACACAGCTTTAAATGTAGTGGACAAGAAGAAAGTTGTTGGATCAATGACCGCAATCTCTCCTCTAAAAAAAAAAAAACAAGAAAAACAGCAGGTTTATCCCAAAGGACATAGAAGTATTAATAAAAGCTGTGTGATTATAAGCTAGTTCCTTGCTTCTCTGAACTGTACTTCCTCCTCTGTAAAATAAGGGGACATTTTTATAGTACTAGGGATTGAACTGAGAGCCTCACCTGTGCAGAGCTAGTGTTGTACCACTGAGCTACGTTTCTAGCCCTTTCAAAATTTTTAGTATGA